AGTTTACAACAAATACAGAGGCCAGATAATTGAGAAAAATGACATCATTAGGAAACACTCTAGAACATAGAAAATTTTTTTAAGAAGCTGGTATGGACTCTTTAAAAAGTCAATGTCATGAGAAAAGAAAAGGCAGAGAAATTGTTTTATATGTAGAGAAATCAGAGACATCACAATTAAACGTAAGATGTGATCTTCAATTGGAAAATAAAAGAAAAGAGATATAAAACACATTTTGAAACTTGTTTTAGTCCATTTTCATGTTGCTAATAAAGACATAACTGAGACTGGGCAATTTACAAAAAGAAAGAAGTTTATTAGACTTACAGTTCCATGTGGCTGGAGAGGCCTCACAATCATGGTAGAAGGTGAAAGGCATGTCTCACATGGCAGCGACATGAGAGAGAATGAGAACCAAGTGAAACAGTTTTCCCCTTATCAAACCATCAGATCTTGTGAGACGTATTCACTACCTCAAGAACAGTATGGGGGAAACTTCCCCCATGATTCAATTACCTCCCACTGGGTCCCTCCTATAAGACGTGGGAATTAGGGGAGTGCAATTCAAGATGAGATTTGGGTGGGGACACAGAGCCAAACCATATCAAAACTGTTGATGAAATTTGAATATTTAAAAATTAAATGCTGGAAAAAAAACTTGACGTCCACCTCCCATCCCATCCTCCCATCACCTCCACCTCCATCCATGTATTTTGATTAGTTGTTCAATTACTCTGTGATGGGGGCAGAGCATCAGTAGCTAGTAAAGATTCCACAGGTGATTTTAATGAGCATCACAGCCGTAAATATAACTCTTGCACCTGTGCACCAGGAAACACATAAGACCTGATAGCAGCACTGCTTGTAATATCACAAAATAGAAACCATCCACATGTCCACCAGCAATAGAATGGATAAAGTGTGCTATTTTTATAACAAAGGAAAGTGATTGTTTTAATGCCTGGGATTATCTGCTAGTTAATTTTTTGTCTCCTCCCACTTGAATTCCCAGTTTTTATTTGATCTACCCCCTGGACCTCAGTATTAATTGTATATATAGTAAGGACATTTCTTTTGGAGATGACCTTTACCCTTAATTTCTGAAGATTTCACCAACTGATTATCAACTTCTTCAGAGTGAATTTTGCCTTTCTGCTCAAATAGATAATTCCCATCTTCCAGTCTGTGGTTTTTGGAGAATGGGAATTGGTTTGCTTCTTTAAAAACCATTTGCAGTAGTCTGCCTGGAATTTAAAATTTTATGGCTTATTCCATCAGTCCATGTGATATTACCCCATCTGAATTTAGCTAACTGAGCTAATGTATAATTAGCATTTCTCTCCACTCATCCCTTTGCTCCCTAATGAGTTGGGAATTATGTTTTCACAGTGTGTACTGGGAAGGCAGACATGTCTGGGAAGACATTCTGAGCTGCTGTTTCCCCTCTCTACCTTGTAAACTCCCACTTTGCCAATTGGTTATCATTTTTTAAAAGTTTTATTATAGCTGATGGAAATATTATTTATTACTTAATAAACTTCTCAGGTTTGTGGTTCCCCATAAGCCCAGGTTCCAGCATTATGACCCTCACTACCAACATAATTAACTGCTTTTCTCCTAGTGAAAGTAGCAGTGTTGTTTTATTTCTTACTATTGAGATGTATTAATGACTCATCAGCAGGGTATTAATGTTTATTTTCATCCAACAAGGACCAAAGATACACCTTTCACAGTTTATTAATTTTAAGATTCCCTGGATCAGAATCATCTATGAGGGTTAGAAGCCACTTAAAAATTGTAATGCATTTACCTGGTTCATAATAATTGGAACCCATGTTTGTTTTGACAAAGGGGAGTATATTAGTCCATGAAGGGATGATGGTGTGTGATCAAGGTAAACACCTTTGTGAGCTTTCAAGATAATTCCAGTTGTCACTAATTGAAAATCTACGATTCAGATGCATTTTCCTCTATTAGAGAGGGATCTGTGATAACATTTGGATTTCATTTAAAAAACATTATAGGAGATAATATTGTGGCCCCCAAAAAGCATTATATATAATAAAGAAGCCAAAAGGTCTTTATTTTCCTTAAGGTTTTTTTTTTTTTTTTTTTTTTCCGAGCACAGGGCTAAAATGCTTCTGTATTAATAGTGAGTGTATCAGTTAGCTTTCACTTCTGAGAATAAACTACCCTAACATTTAGTAGTTAAAATGAAAATTTTTTTTTTTTTTTTTTTGTTCACAATTCTGTGGGCTGGCAACTTGGGCCAGACTCAGCTGGGTAATTCCTTTGCTGGTCTCAGCTGGAGCTCACTCACATGTCCCTGGTCAGTTGGCAGGTTGGCAGGGGGCTGGTTGGTCTAGAAGAGACCTGTGATGGGATGGCTTGTCTTTGCTCCATGTGATTTCACATGGCAACAGCAAATGAAGAGGTGCTTCTTTCACATGAAGAAATCTAGCTTTGGCTTCTTCACGTGGAGAAGGTAACAGGAGCGTCAAGAACATCAAGACAGTGCAAGCCTTTTCAAGTCTTTTCTTGCATGTGTTTAGTGTTGCCCTATTAGGCAATGCAAGTCCCATGGTTATGTTCAGAGTTTGTGTGTTTGGAGTGGGGTGTGGATGATTCGGGGGAGGGTTGTCTACCAAGATCAGGAAGACAGCGCAGTGTGAACAGATCGGGGCTTCTATTGCAAATAATCCACCAGAGTGAGATAGGAGAAAGATTATTTGTCTAAACTGGTACAGACCAACATTTTACCAAGCAGATTCTAAGGAATTCTGGCCCAGGCAATATAGCTATATGTTACCAAAAGGGGCATTCTAGAGTTAAATAACTTTGAACAATGAAGGATTTAGCAAAGTGAAAGAGATTTATTTATTGCAGGACATCTCAGCCTGAATCTTCAAATGTAGATGCATAATTTCCCAAACTTGGACATAGAATTTTCTATTCCCTGCCTCCACTTTCCATGGACAATCTTTAGAGATAGATGCCCTTTAAAACATATTTAAAATGTTGCTGTAGAACAAACAATGAGCTCTTTGACTAGCCTTTTATTTCTCAATCTTTGCTCTTGACAAAGGACAAATACTGAAAAATAACCATAGTACCTTCGTGTACTCACCACATTTTCTGTGCCTATTTCTCCAGGATTAAAATAGGAGACAGTACATTTTACTATCAATTTTCTTAGGAAAACAAAACAAAATAAAACAATGTGGGCTTCCAAAGAACAATGTGCTTTTGTGGTGAGGTTGGTTGCATTCTCCATCATTGTCTCAAGAACCCATTTGCATGCAATTTTAGTATGATTAGACTTTGAATATGGAGTCTCTTCTATATTTTGAGCCTTTATTAGAACACTTTTCTCCTGATAGCAACTGCAATAAGCCAAGATTCAGGAGTAAGAGGTCTCTATATTTAGCCTTTGGGAAGAATTTGCAGTATGTTTTCCATCATTTGATGTGGCATGTAGATAGTTTATTCCAATAGAGATGAAGCAGGATGAAAAATATGAACTTTGGGGTCTCCATGTAAATCTTGGGCTAGTCACTCTTCAGCCCTGTGACTTTGAGCACATTTCTCAACTGCTCTAAGGCAGATACAACAGTATCTACCTTTCAGGGTTCTGTGACATAATGTGAGTACAGTTAAAACAAAATCATGGCCTTAGAATACAGAGGATGCTTAATAAAGGGTAGCCATTGCTCTTGAGGAAAGAAGCCTGCTTTTGAAGATGTGATGGCAAAAATTTGGGGCCTCAGTATGAATTGGGGTTCAGCCCAAAGCTCTGATTATGAAGGAACATGACAGAGAGATTCTTTTTCCAGCTCTCACACATGCCAAAGCTTGCTTCGACTCCAGGGCCTTTGCACTTTTAGTCTTCTACCGGAAATGATGTTCTGCCAAGGTTTGTGCATGGCTTCTTGTCCTTTAGATCTCGCTTCAAAAGTTGGCTGCTGGACCCTGTCTAGCCACATTCACTGACATAGCCATTCCTTTTACTAATTCTCTCTCTCCAATCTGTATCCTATTACCCAACTGATTTACTATTCTTATAACAACTTCATGGTATGATCTTATGCATTTATTTATTATGTGTTTGTCTGCTCCTGTCCAACTAGAAATTAACCTCTGTGAAGCCTTATGATCCCAGGCCTGGAACGAAGTCCGCCCCATAGTAGCAGCTCAGTAATATCTGTGGTTGGATGTAAAATAAGAATCAACTGAACAGAAAGCTCATCTTGTGGATTTGGTAGTGAATGTGTCTCAAGAAGCAGCCCCCAAGCTCCACCCTCCTTGCGGCTGTGGATTTTAGTGCTGGAAGCATGCACATTTCTCGAGTGTCAGCTCAGAACCTGGAGCAGGTAGAGACTTCTGAATAGAGGGACCATAAGTGGACATATCTGTGAAGATCCAGGGACAGGAGAGATGGGGGAGGTAAAGTGTGGCCTAATGCAGAATATCCTATACTTCCCCAAGCAAGTCAAAATGTTTCATGGCTCAATGCTTTTGCTCAGGAAGCAAAACTCCTTGTCTGTGGAGCAAACACCTACCTACCCTTCATGATCCAGTTCAAGAATGAGAAGGCTTTTCTGATTTCCCCACCCATAGATAGATTTAGCTCATCTCCTCCATATCCTCCCTGTATTTTGTGCATACTCCTCTAACCTGTAACTCCTTATGGCTCTCATTTCTTTTTTTTCGTTTGTTTGTTTGGATGAGCACTTTTATTTATTTATTTACTTGGTTCACGCTGTCAGTTAATATGGTTTAAGTGAAGCAAACCACTCTTCCTACCTGGGGTGGCAGGGCAGATAACTGGTCCATTGGCAATACCATGCCCTTGACCAGTGATTGGTTCAGAAAAGGATACATACAATAATCCTGATGAGTCAAGTCTGATGCTTTTGCTGGAATGATTAGAAAAGGGATGCTCTCCTTTCCATGGTGTTGCCAGGCTGGTGGAATGGAAGTCGAGTGGTTGGAGGTGATTTTGGCACCAAAAAACAAAAATAAAAACCAACATCAAAAAAAGCATAATTTGTGATGCAGAGAGACAGAATTCAGTCGGATGTTTGAATATCTGAATCTAGAAATGCCCAAAACAATGGAACTTTTCAATGGTATGATCGTTTCTCTTTTTTGTTTATGTTAGCTTGGGTTGAAATTGTGCCATTTTGTAATCAGCGTCCTGGGTAGTGGAGTGCTTTTTTTCTATGGCACAGTGGGAGCACTTTGACAGCAGAGACTGCCTCTGCTCTTGTCTTTTGTCTTGACATTGCACTATGTGCTCTATATCTGTCTTCTAACCTGGTTTGAGTGACTGAATGAATTAGTGAATGAAATTAGTAGGTAACTGGACACATCTTTAATGGCAAGTTCAGGAATTGGGGTTTTTGTCTTTCCTGACTTTCTCACATAATTAATTCACAGTATCCTGGCCCCATGTCAGCAATTGAAAGTATTTTATTTTTTTCTTGCTTCTTTAAAATGACCAGTAGCTTGTTTCGCTGTCATTTGATTCTTTCTCATTGTGCTTAGGTGCAAGGGAAACAAATTCTCTTTAATTGAGGGTTGCTGTTATGAGGATTTGCGTTATTGCTTAGTTTTAACAAACAGGATATTACAGCAACTGGTGATTAATATGATAGGAAAGAGCGAACATGCGACATGAGTCATTACATTAGATCCAACATGTTTAATGGTCTGTTATGCTGAGCAGGGAGCAGTAAGGGGCCTGCTGGGGAAAAGGCAAGGCAAAAAGCTCACTTGTTTTTTTTCAAGCTGTCTGTCTTACAGAGAGTTGTCACCATTCTTCTAACTGCAAATAAGGCAACAATTCTGAGAAATTATTTTTCTTCCTTTGACCAGTGAGTATAGAATGTAAGTTGACCTATGCTACACAGAAATATTCTAAAGTGATACAAGGATGATAGTGATGGTCAACTCTCATGATGAGATAAACTCATTAATTCATTGATTTCTGCTTTCCTGCCTGGAAAATGGAAAAATAATAGAGAACCAGTTTATAAATTCATTAAACTTGCATAATGAAAACTGGGATTGCTAAAAAGTCCCTTCTCAGGAGAAAAGCAATGTAAATCAAGGTACAAAAGTATTGAAGTCTTGGTCTACTTTTGGCTCAGCTTCTATCTGCATGAACCACTTTTGGCAAGATAGTTAACATTTTGATGTATAGTCATCTCACTTGCCTGAGAGGATTTGTACTCTATCACAGAGTGGCATGAGTATTAAGAAAGAATTTGTGAAATGTAAGCAATAAAATATGTAAAGAAATTTCATTATCATGTAGTAGTATTATTGATAATACCACAGTTCACACGAGATGTCTAGAGTTATGAAAGTATGTTCTCTGACATTTTCCAGAAATGTAAATGAAATTTCCCTTCACTCCCACCCTTGGCATCTCCAGTCCATTCTTTACACTGAAGCCAGAGTGATCTTCTAAAAATATATAAATCTGCTTATAACACTCCCAATGCATGATGGACTCCAATGGCTTCTCATTGCTGTTATGTTTGGAACCAAGGTTCTCAACATGGAAACAAGCCTGTATACCATCTGGCACATTTTTATGTCTCTCTTCTCATCTCATAACTTTTTTTTCTGTCTGGGTTCTATCCACATTGTCTTCTTTCAGGATCTGAGTGCACTGTGCTTCTTATCTCAGGCTTTGAATGAGCTGTTCTTTCAGCCTAGAATGCTCTACCCACTCTGCTTCCCAACCTTCACCTTGAATAGACTGAATAATGGCCCTCTGTGCCCAAAGAAGCCCATGTCCTACGCTCCAGAAGCTGTGGCTATGTGATATTACATGGTAAAAGGGACTTTACAAAAGTGATTAAGGATCTTGAAATGAAGAGGTTATCTGGATTATCCCGGAGGGCCCCATGGTAATCAAAAGCATCCTTATAAGAGTAAAGAAGGAGAATCAGAATGAACAGTAGATGTGATGAAGGAAACAAGAGGATGGCATAAATGTAGGAAGTGCAGTTAATGGAGACTTCTTACAGAAAAGATGCAGGCAGAGCTCTGATGTTTGAGAAGGAGGAGGGTGCTGCTTGAAGAGGTCAGGACAGAGAATGTTGAAAGTAATATAGATGGCATGGGCATATGTTCTTGACGCAGAACTGGAAAGAGTGCAGAATACTGGTGTGCACAAATGGTGATCGTTGAGGTTGGAAAAGAAATCAAAGGCCAGATTATTAAGAGCCTTATGAACCAGTTTAATAACTTAGGTAAATACAGGCCAGTGGAATGGTTTTAAGCAGAGGGGAGAAATGATGAAATTTGAGTTGCAGGGATCAAAGTGGAGAAGGGGAGATAAAGTGACTATTTCAGTATTTGGCAAAGAGATGGCTTTGGTCTGAAAAAGTTAGGGGTGGTGGGATGAAGTAAAATTGACTGATCCCAAAGATATCTAGGAGGTAGCTTCAGTAGGACTTAGGCTGAAAGAATGCAGGAGTGATGAGAAATGAGGAGCCAAGGATCCCTCCCAGATTATTAATTTGGAAGACTGAATAAATAGGTGGTGATGCCATTCATTGAGATAAAGGAAAGAAGAATATACTAATGAGAAAAATCATCTACTCAAAATGTCTGCAGCAAACAATTACTTCATTAAAATGACATGGATATGATATTGATGTAGACAAGTTAATCTGGATGACAGTTGGTACAAGGAATTCTTGTTTGTGGGTATGGCCTAGAGGGGATAGATTTGAAGGATGGTTCGCATCTAGAAGACAACTGGTCATACCTTTAAGTTCCATAATTTATCCTCACAGTTTAGGATCAAGGAGATATGATTTCATAGCACATATAAAATGTTTTATATTTTAAATTATTTTTATTTTTCCATAAGTTATTGGGGTACAGGTGGTATTTGGTTACATGAGTAAGTTATTTACTGCTGATTTGTGAGATTTTGGTGCACTCAGCACTGGAACAGTATACACTGCACCATATTTGTTGTCTTTTATTTCTCGTCCCCCTCTCACTCTTCACCCCAAGTCCCCGAAGTCCATTGTATCATTCTTATGCCTTTGTATCCTCATAGCTTAGCTCCTACATACCAGTGAGAACATACGATGTTTTCTTTTCCATTCCTGAGTTACTTCACTTAGAGTAATAGTCTCCAGTCTCATCCAGGTCACTACAAATGCTGTTAATTCATTCCTTTTTATGGCTGAGTAGCATTCCATAGTGTGTGTGTGTGACACACACACACACACACACACACACACACACACACACACACACACATATATCACAGTTTCTTTATCCAATTGTTGCTAGATGGGCATTTGGGTTGGTTCCACGATTCTACAATTGTGAATTGTACTGCTATAAAATGCGTGTGCAAGTATGTTTTTCTAGCAATGATTTCTTTTCCTTTGAGTAGATACACAGTACTGTAGTAGGATTGCTGGATCAAATGGTAGTTCTACTTTTAGTTCTTTAAGGACTCTCCATACTGTTTTCCATAGTGGTTGTACTAGTTTACATTCCCACCAGCAGTATGGAAGTGTTCCCTGTTCACCAAAAACACGCCAGCATGTACTGTTTTTTGATTTTTTGATCATGGTTATTCTTGCAGGAATAAGGTGGTATTGTATTGTGGTTTTGATTTGCATTTTCCTGATCATTAGTGATGTTGAGCATTTTTTTCATGTGTTTGTTGGCCATTTGTATAACATTTTTTGAGAATTGTCTATTCATGTCCTGGGCCCACTTTTTGATGGGATTTTTTTTTTCTTTCTGATTTGTTTGACTTCATTGTAGATTCTGGATAACAGTTCTTTGTCAGACATATAGATGGTGAAGATTTTCTCCCACTCTGTAGGTTGTCTGTTTACTCTGCTCACTGTTCGTTTTGTTGTGCAAAAGCTCTTTAGTTTAATTAGGTCCTAGCTATTTATTTTTGTTTTTATTGCATTTGCTTTTGGGTTCTTGGTCATGAAATCCTTGCCTAAGCCAATGTCTACAAGGGGTTTTCCTATGTTATCTTCTAGAATTTCTATAGTTTCAGCTCTTAGGCTTAAGTTCTTAATCCATCTTGACTTGATTTTTGTATAAGGTGAGAGATGAAGATCCAGTTTTATTCTCCTACATGTGGCTAGCCAATTACCCTAGCACCCTTTGTTGAAAAGGGTGTCCTTTCCCCACTTTATGTTTTTGTTTGCTTTGTTGAAGATCAATTGGCTATAAGTATTTGGGTTTATTTCTGGGTTCTCTATTCTGTTCCATTGGTCTATGTGCCTATTTTTATAACAGTACCACACTGTTTTGGTGACTATAGCCTTATAGTATAGCTTGATATCAGGTGGTGTAATGCCTCCAGATTTGTACTTTTTGCTTAGTCTTGATTTGGCTATGCAGACTATTTTTTGGTTCCACATGAATTTTATAATTGTTTTTTCTAACTCTGTGAAGAATGATGGTGGTATTTTGATGGAGATTGCATTCAATTTGTAGACTACCTTTGGTAGTATGGTCATTTTCACAATATTGATTCTACCCATCCAGAGCATAGGACCTCTTTCCATTTGTTTGTGTTATTATGATTTCTTTCAGCAGTGTTTTGTAGTTTTCCTTGTAGAGGTCTTTTGACTCTTTTCTTAGGTATATTCTTAAGGTTTTTTTAGTTTGTATTGTTTTTATTTTGTTTTGTTTTTTGCAGCTATTTTAAAAGGGGTTGAGTTCTTGATTTAATTCTCTGCTTGGTCAATGTTGGTGTATAGAAGAGCTACTAATTTATATACATTAATCTTGTATCTGGAAAATTTGCTGAATTATTTTATCAGCTCTAGGAGCTTTCTGGGGAGTCCTTAGGGTTTTCGAGGGAAATGATCATATTGTCAGCAAACAGGGACAGTTTGCTCTTTACCAATTTGGAGGACTTTCTTTTTCTTGTCTGATTTCTCTTGCTAGGACTTCCAATACTATATTGAAGAGGAGTGGAGAGAGTGGGCATCCTTGTCTTGTTCCTGTTCTCAGAGGGAATGCTTTCAACTTTTCCCCATTCAGTATTAATTATATTGCCTGTGGGCTTGTCACAGATGACTTTTATTACGTTATGTCCCTTGTATGCCAATTTTGCTGAGGGTTTTAATCATAAAAGGATGCTGGATTTTGCCAAATGCTTTTTCTGCATTTATTAAGATAATCATGTGATTTAAAAAAATTTTGTTTATGTGGTGTATCACATTTATTGACTTGCATATATTAAACCATTCCTGCATCCTGGTATGTGAAATCCACTTGAACATGGTGGATTATCTTTTTGATATGTTGTTGGATTCAGTTAGCTAGTATTTTGTTATGGATTTTAGCATCTATGCTCATCAAGGATATCAGTCTGCAGTTTTCTTTTTGGTGGTGTCCTTTCCTGGTTTTTGGTATTAGGGTGATTCTGGCTTCATATAACGAATTAGGGAGGGTTCCTTCTTTCTCCATCTTGCAGAATAGTGTTAAAGGATTGGTACTAATTTTTCTTTGAATGTCTGATAGAATTCTGCTGTGAATCCATCTGGTCATGGACTTTTTTTTGTTGGTAATTTTAAAATTACTATTTCAATCTCACTTCTTGTTATTTGTCTCTTCAGGGTATCTAATTCTTCCTGATTTAAGCAAGGAGGGTTGCATTTATCTAGGAATTTATCCATCTCTTGTAGGTTTTCTAGTTTATGTTTGTAAAGGTGTTCATAGTATTTTAAATGATCTTTCGCATTTCAGTGTTATCTGTGTAATATCTCTTGTTCTGTTTCTTAGCGAGGTTATTTGGATTTTCTCTCTTCTTTTCTTGGTTAAGCTTGCTAATGGTCTATCAATTTTATTTATTTTTTCAAAGAACCAACTTTTTGTTTCACTTACCTTTTGCATTTTTTTTTTTTTTTTGGTTTCAAGTTCATT